AGTAGCAGCAACCCCGAATCAGATTTTGGCCCTTAAATTAAAAAAAAAAAAATAATTACTGTCACACGTCGTGAGCCCTTAGATATAATCTATCACCTTGTATTGATTTTTATGAAAAATTTTTTCGTGTGTACGTACAGAGCGCGACACTGTTAGCGCGAACAAGCGATCGCCGGTTTTTCCAGTTTTTCTCTTTGAAACCAAGGGATGTCATCTAAGTTATTATTGCTAAGGAAAGAGCTCATTTAGTTCTATAATGTAAGCGATACAATTTTCTGCTCGCTAATACTATTTAAAAGTAAAACGCTAAAATGCACCGATGTCGTGTTCGCGCTAGCAGTGTCGCGATGTGTACGTTAGAAATTATTTACACACTGCTTCTAAGATATGAATGTGCATAAATTGATGTTTAAAAGTGTATATTACAATACAACTTTCTCTTTCTCGGAATGCCAACGTTGTGCTGGTCCTTAAAAGTAATTGAGACACATAATTAAAATGTTTTATTTGATCTTTTAGCTTGCTGTAAAAAACAAGGAATTAGCGGGAGCATGCGGTCTGGTAACAGGTTTGATAAGGTGGATGCTCGCGCCCATCAGATAGCAAATATAAAATTCAATATTTCAAAAAATACATAGTGCGAACTGAATTCAATATTTTAGGTACAAATAATTTAAATTTAATATCGAGGAAACATTTAAAAACAAACAAAAACGTTGCAAGCAAAGCGTCGACTGCCTTGTTTATTCGATTATGTGTGAAAACTACTTTTCTGGAACTGTAACTGTCCTTTACAATTCTACACGAGGCTCGTTGGATTTACACTCACCTCATGGACCCGTGCAGGAAAGTGTAAGGCGCTCTACTTCCGGTTTCAATACGAATACCGGAAGTACACTAATTTCACCTTTCTGCACCGATGTACGAGGTGCAGGCAAATTGAACGAGCCTAATGTTGCAGCATGAGTGCGAGCGAAAAGATGTTACAAGCCCAAGCGTGGTGTCTCGAACGATGCTTTTATCTCACGAACGCGCGTGCAGAGAAGGCCCGCTCCAAGCGCCACGCTTTGTCTCGCAGCATTTCCTGCTGCGAGACAAAGCGTCTCGCAGCAGGAAATGCTGCAGCATGGCCAAACAGCTCGCAACATATGCAACATATGCATATGTTGTGAGCTGTTCGACGATCGACAAGGCAATGTGCCATCGCACAACTTCGAATCTTAGAGTTGAAAGAGCGTTGTATTCCCCATATATTGCCGTAACTTTTCCCGCCTAGTACCGCTGCCGCAATTGCTGCATGCCGTGACTACGACAAGAACGCTAGCGCAAATCCCGAAACCGAAATGGTGCGAGTGACTACAGAGAGCAAGCTTCGCCTAGATATGCGAGCCGGTGTTCAAGTTTATATAGCAGCAGGTAACTTTTCCCATTCGCCCGGCGATCGCTCTGCTAACTCCGGTATAACAAATGGCACACGGAGAGACGGCTCGTGTTCTGTAGGGGGCAGAGAAATCCGCTCGGCGAGCGAGGGCCGAGCGCTCAGATTTGCCAGTGCAGAGGGCTATAAGAAAAAAAAATAAAAAAACGAAAGGGGTGCTTCAGCTGAGTGCTGCAACGGATGCACAGCTTGTTCAAAAATGAACGGAAATAATATAATGCAGCTATATCGCACATAGCCGTTTTTGCTTTAAAGATTACGTATGCGCGAAGCAACGACAAAAGAACACGTTATTTTGCGCCCCTCAACGCGAGCGTGCTGGAAGTGGTAGGTAAGTGGGAGCGCGCTCTTTGGAGAATCATTGATTCGGGAGTTCGACACGAGATGGCGACACGGGTCATCCCAGCGCCGCTTTTATTGATGCCACAGATGGCGAAGTGGCGGATGAGGATCTCTACGCAGCAATCGCGATCTTACCAATACGCACTATCGAGGGTGCCAGTTGATCGGAATTTCATTCCCGCTCCACATATATTGAAAACACAAGAAAGATATATGAAGGACTTGCGGAATTAATTACTAGACGTACAGCAGTGCACGCTTGATTCTAGCAAATTTTATTATTGTACAATCATTTCGACAACAAAACGGGTTTGTCAAGCTTCTTGCCCTGGTTCGTGCCTTTGAAAGTGCTGCACAAAATGTATTTGATTGAATATAGAAACAACGAATTAATAAACCGCGGTAGCGGCATACGCAGGAGTTCTTCTTTGGCCCCAAGAAGGGGGAGGGGGGGGGGGGGGGGGAGATTCGTTGAATGTTCACTTTGTGTAGGCCAGTGCTTAAATAACCTAAGGACATATACGCACTTGATTTGAAGGTTGGGGACTTTGGAATCGGACCTCCAGAAACGTTGGTTTCCCCGCAGCACGTCACGGTCTGTGGGAAAGCCGAATGCACTACGTATGTCATATCGTAGTTTTGTTTGTTCGTCTGTTTGTTTGCTTAAGTGTTAAAATATGTCATGGTGCGTTACAGAGCATTGAATTAGGTAACTAACTCTCATAGACCTTCCGCGAAATAAAAAAGATTTCCTGGAAATATCAAATAATAATTGATCGGCATTCTATATGATACAATTACAGTCCTCGTGGGCAGTACGATCATCTGTCAAGAAAAGCATATATTGACAATTTTGTGAATGCGGCCAATACAAATTCAATGCAAAAAAAAAACAAAAAAAAACTGCAAAGCCTTGTAATAAAAACCATACGCGTCCAAAGACTTTATTACTACTTGTTTACATTTAATGGCTGTCGTCTAAAATATTCCCGGGGAACATTGCGATGTTCGCTGTTGTTCAGTTGAAATTCTCATTGTAGTGCATGCGCCGAGGCGTTGATATCCCAGAAAGTTGGAGATGATGATTTATTTGTTGCCAATCATGCGCTGTGGACATAAGTTAAATAAAGTAAGAAGTTATTAGAGGATGGGGCCCAACAGTGAAGGAACGAATTACGTCTTATTATACAATAGGATAAGATTTTTTTTAATATTACCGTCTTTCCGTGCTGTGGAATACCAAATCTAAGAGCGACTCCACTAAAAAGAAATGTGTGCCAAATAAAAAAAAAATTATAACGAAACAAACAAATATTTTGAAACTAAAGTTGTCCGGATTATTATTTCAACATTTATTTGAGACGCTTTCGGTTCGTCGTGATTTCATAACGTCAAGAAGCTGACGTGCTATAGGACGAAATTACTATATGGCCTTGAAATTGAATAGATGAACTCACCGTTTAGTACATTATAGTCGTCAAGTCGACGACTTGCTCAATCAATACCCGTTGGGTTAAAGGTATAGATAGACCTTTTTTTGGAGTCTAATTTTACAAAGATCCCGTTACAGCCATGACTCATCAAGAATTTCATTGCTGGATAGATTCCTTCCCCTCCGGCATGCCATGTGTACGAAAGCACAGGGCGCAAATTTTATTTTTCGTTCCCGATCTTTTCGTTACGTTTCTGAGGAAAGATCAGTGAAGTACAACTTTGGGGGGCTTGATGTCAATTAATCTTGACTGCAGAGAATTCGAACACGTAACAGTAGCCTAAATAGAGCTAAATAGCCGGTACTCCGATGTCAATAAAAAAAAAAACATTTATTGCTATACTCTCCCGCATTTTCAGTTAACCCATTACATTCGAATGTATGAAAGAAAAAAAAAAAAAGATGCAATACAAAACCACACTTCTATTAAGGATTCCCAGTAATTGGGTTCTCTACAATGTATGCTGATTTATTAGTAATTTCGCAATTCTTTATTAAATTGATTGTCCGCCACATCAAACCGATTAACAGATAAATTAATGGACGATAGGAAGCCTTAATTAATTAAAAATGATTAATCAGTCACCAGTCACTGGGCTACTACTTGTGTTTTCCAATTTGCACGAGCCACCACGAAACCGTACATAGCAGCAGGCCATACATTTCCAGCCAAGCACCTCTGTCTGGTCTAAAAACCCACACTTCAAGGAAACTGGGGTTCAGAGAAGCACGGCATGCTACCGATTCGTACGCCTATACATCATGTGAAATCACCAGAGGGTTACTAGAACAACACACAAAAAAAGTTTATCATCGTAAATAACAAAAAAAAATGAAAAAAGAGAGAAAGAAAAAGATGAAATAAAGGAGGGTATACATGGGGTGAGGGAGAGGAGAGGAAAAGCCAAGCAGCTGAAATCAGATCAGCCCGCCTTGAATGTCGTTACCGACCAAAAACGGGAACCAGCCTCACATTGGCAGGAACAATAGAACAAAAGTCCCGTTCAAAGATCCACATTAAACTCGGACGAAAAGAAACAATCGCATCGACATACACAGAGCAGCGGACCAACCACAACGATCAGGTCACGCAGAGCAGTCACGAGCACACACACACGCCCAAAAGTAAGCGAGGGAGCGTTCCCGCCAAGGGGATACCGTTACAAATATGCCGGGCGGTCGAAAGAAACAAAACGTAGAGCAGCTCAGTCAACCACCAACGGAGCGAAAACACGGCGCCGCCAGCGTCGCGTCCACACAGCAAATGATCGTCTGCGTACCACTTCCGACGAGAGAGGGAGCTGCTCGGTGCGCCGAGAGCGCCACCGCGGCGTTCCGAAGAATCGAACACGTCACTCATGACGTCAGAGGGCGTGTTTCTCCAGTAGCCCCGCCTCCCACATGGTGGGGGGGAAGGGAGGGGGGGTGACGGCGTCGGCAGCTTTCGTGTGAGCCGCAGACACTCCGTTTTAACGCGCCGTTCTAGTCCACGATTTTGAACTAATCGATGGAGATTCGAAAGTTGAATCGAAGTCGTGGGGCCGTCTAGATCGGGGGCGCATTTCGGAGTGCGTCTAGGCAGCCGTCGGCTGTTGCCGAGGCCCCCAAAAACGCGCATCGCCGAGAGCCGCGAGCGTTCGACGCGCGTCGGCGGGCGACGAAGGGGGCGCCACTCGGAAGGTGCCGCGCTCGACGCCCCTCTCATTATCCTGGGAGCGGGGCCGCGAGGGCCGGCGAATGGCGGCGTCTGCGCTGCCACGTCACGGCTGCGGCGCCGGAGCGGCGGCCCCTGACGCGAGAATAGCTAATCACCCGGGATGTGGGGCCCGTCATTTTCGCGCGGCGGCATCGCAGGCACGCCTCCGGCTAGAGTGCTGCTGTCGTCCCCGAGTCGAGCGGTGTCGCGCCTAGCGCCCCAGAGCCGTGGCGGCCGAGCAACGCGACGCAGCAGCAGGCGGCTCCGCGCTCCTGCAGACGACAGCGTCGCCGTCACCGCAGCCGCTGCCGCCGCCGCCGCTGGAGATGCGATCTTCGCCCGGTGACGCGATGGCCTTCCAGCCCTTCCTCATGCCGGCCGTGCGCCCCACGCCGCAGGACTTTTCGGTGCACTCGCTGCTCGGCGGCGCACAGCCGCCGTACTTGCCGGCACTGGCGGGCTTTCCGGCGTCGCTGTTTCCCAAGTTGCATCCCGGGGCCGCGGGACCGTGTCCTCCGCTGACGGCCGAAGACCTGCTGGCGGCCGCACACCGAGGTGCGCCGCTTTTGCGGCCGCCGCCGGGACTAGAGCCCGAGGACGACGGAGTGCAAGACGACCCCAAGGTGACGCTCGAGTCCAAAGAACTCTGGGAGAGGTTTCACACTTTCGGCACCGAAATGGTCATCACCAAGTCGGGCAGGTACGTGCGATCGGTTCTTTCATGCGGTCCAACGCGTAGTGCAGGCAGACCACGCGTTGGAATGGCACTGAATGTGTGACACGCGATGCTTCGTTCGTAACATTGCCAAGAACTTCTCCAACATGTGCCCCTAATGTTGGTCACGTTGTCAACTGATCGGCTCTGTAAGTTAAAAGTAGACAGGTAAATAGAAGTTTCGAAACTTTCCATTCTAGGCTAAACCAGGGGTTCTGCGAAGTTATTTTGAAAGCTCGTAACTGCAATTATGGCTACTTGAAAAGAAAAAAAGAAAATGTTATACGAGATTGCCGTTTGTTCCCACGAAAACTAAATAAAAAAAAAATAAGAGGCGTTCCGTGTTGCGTAATAGATAGAAGTCAAGGCAAAGTCAACAGATTTCCATTATTTACGAATAAGAAGATGCTATATTGCCATCGCGCTTAAATGAAGGGAAATTATTAAATCTGCTTGTACACAGACCTGAAACACAAATTTCTGCACTTTGTATATTGTGTAAATGCTCGAGACTATGTGTCCCTAATAACTCTTTGCTATATAACCAACACAAATGTTTTTGTTGTAATAAAAAAATCAAGGGACTCCTTTGTTCCGAGGTCAGCGTTTTAAAATAGTTCTGAATTCCCTTAGCAACAAACAGCATACTTCTAGTGTACTTCTGGCGAACTTACTACAAAGACTTTCTTTTGTAGTAATTCCGCGTTAAATTGGCCGATCTCGAGTGCACACAAGTGACTTTTATCCCGGTATAATTCTAGTAGTCTTGGAATTCGTATTTAGAACATACTACGCGTGCTTTGTAAGTGTGCATAAACTCATGTTATACGGAAATCCAAATGTGCACGTTAAGAAACCATACTGGTTGAAGCAATACAACCAGAAATTTTTCTTTATAACAAATTGATAGAAATGGGACAGCTTTGCGTTCTGGCTCGCGAGTTGTTTTACAGGAGCTTCTGATTTTAATGTTTCGCTTAATACAGTTATTTGACCTATACAGTCTGGAATTCTGCATTCTCTCGAATGCCGACTGATAATTTGACGCACCAAATAACACGCACGCACAAATACCCGCGCCCTCACACATGGTCGAGGGAAGAACGACAAAATAACAGCGGGTAAACTTTAATGGTGACAGTAGTTGCGATGTGTGTAACAGTTTTGCTCACCCCGATCGGTAAAGTGATGGATTAAACCGGTACGAGGTATTCGCCAAGGAGACAAACAGTGCAGGTTATTAATGATTGTGGTACTTTGCTTTCTAAGCCACCTGTTATACTCATATACGTTTCCTGAGCCACGTATACATTCCAGAACCGAAAATGAAAGAGTTGGAGATTAATTTTAGTGTACCCGAAACGTTTGTGCGAGCATTGTGCTCACTGTTGAAATTAGCGCAGCAGGTTTTTCGTGAAGCGTCAAGGCCGAGACGACATCCGCCGAAGTTAAGCATGTGCATGCTTTCATGTGTAAAAGCTACAGCGACCCTCTCTACCTGGCATACCATGATCAACTGAAAAACTATTTTAAAATATTTGAAATGGGGATATGTATTTGGAACAAAGTAATATCCCACTGCATTAGCATAATCTGATTTCACGGGTTGTTTCCCAATATAAGCCACCGAGGTTGAAGTTAAAAACTTAAATTGTGGTTTCATTTTAAGTCAGACAAGCTTGTCGATGTCGTCCTAAGATTCGCTCAAAATTCTCGATTTTTTTTAAAGGTCTGGCTTTTTTTTTGTGCATGATATTGATTGTGTTTGCATTTGTAATGTGCATCAGTGTCAGTATGTTTTGGGTCTCCCGATTTGACACAAATCTATGACCCCACCCGACAGGCTTTTTGCAAATCAAATGAAACTATGTGGTACCTTATATATGCACTGGTTTGAACGGTGAGAAAGTACTATCAATTTAACTTTATTTATTTATTGTGATAAAGTTTTGTGCTAATAAACGAATCGAAGTGTCATCTTGAAGATGTATTGTTTCCAAAAGACTCGAGAGCGACCGAAACATCAGTGATCTTTATAACGGCTTCCAAACCTTCAGAATATGGGAAATTTACGAATGTTTGAAGTTTTACTGAAACCTGCAGTAAAGATATATGCAAAGTACTCGCGAGCGCTATTCAGTCGTAGGAAAAAAAAAACGCATAACCATGCAAGCCAATTACCTGAGTGTAATAAAACTACCCTAAAGCTCCCTCCCCCCCCCCCCCCCCCCCCCCTTAGGTTTTGCATTGACCATGCCTTAATTTCCTTGGTGTATTGGTTTATCGGGGAAGGGGGAAGGGGGGGACGCAAGGAGGGAAAAACAAGAAACTTATGCACATGGAGAAAAACGGAAACAAACCGTGTGGTTGACGACACTACTCATAGACGGCGCTTCATAAAACAAAACTATGAATGTTTTTTTTTTTCGTTTTTGTTTTGTTTTTTGTACATGACTATTTGAAAGCAGATACAGCAGATCCGAATGTATGTGGTACCACCTGCCAGTATTCAGCGTTAGTCACAGGGTTTGTTTCCCCTTTTCTCTCCATGTATATAATAACACGTTTTTCCTTTCTTGCTTTTTCTTTTTTTTTTTTAGGGGGGAGGGGGGATCCAGAACTTTACATTTGTGAATTTTTAGTATGATGAGTGTACCACCTCTAAGGTCACCTTTGTGGCGTTTTATTGAACCCCCTTCATTGGCTTGTTTTTATAAGGTTCTTTTGTACGAGCGATTTGAGCTAAGGCTCCTACCTCTTATTTTGTAAATGATATTCCGTCAAGAGCCTGTGAAATGTACGAACATGAGCGTGTATAACTTCATCAGCACTTTTCAAAACGTCTTAGGAGAACCGGAATAGTCAAATGATGAACGAGGTGAGAAGTACCGCGTGGTTTCGGGAACCGCCTAGACAATAAAAACCACATGACCACTTTTTTTTTAATTATTATTACTGCATGTTGGAGAGAAACATAAACAAAAAGCATTGATAAGTGGAGCTTAATGTTTTTTAGCATTTAAAATTTTCGAACGCAAACTTTGGCGAACATTGTTTGAAAATATTTAATAAATGAGAGAACTGTGTACTGTCACTTTAAACTGGTTCTGTTTTTTGTTACCTTTTCTTAAGCATAGCCAATTTTTATTTATTTTTCTGTGTTTAATGGGAAAGAGGCAGGGGGTATATATAAAATGGAATCACAAAAATGCTTAAATTACAAAAGCAAAGATTCAAGCAACCTTTTAAATCTACTCATTTATTCATATTTCATTTAAAAAAAGTTAGTGAGAGTGCTAATGAACATCACAGCTGATTTAACCAACAAATCCTGATCGGTAATAATTGACAACCAGAAATTTAGTATCTTCAAAGTCTAGATGGCAGGCGAAAGCTCAGCGAGAGACAAAAGTAAGACATTCGTGGTGTGTTTTTTACTCAGCGGTCGTAGTCATGGATTCCTTAATGGGGCGATGCAACGACTTTTGTATTTTGCGCAAATACCGCTTAGAACAAATCCCTGACGTTACGGACCTGTGAAATACCCGTTTGTTTTTCACCACACGCAATTGAAGTCGCAGAAAAAAATAAAGAAAAACGAGCAGCGTTCACCCCCTCAACTCGCAGCCAAAACAAGCGCCACGTGATCTGGAGTCGATTATATGCCGCCAATGTTGATCACAGCCATGCGCTGGGGTTGGCAAGGCACAGGACACGCGCTGAGCAACAGACATTGTTATGGTTCGGCTGTTGTCGTCATTGCAGCAATTGGACACAGGACACTATCCGAATGCGTCTCGAGCTAGCAATTATCACGAGCCCAAATCGAGTGTCCACGCCATGCTCGGGTCCAATCTATGAGCCGCATTCAAATATCGTCACTGGGCGGTACAGCTACCGCCCAGCTACGTCATCAGGTTTTGCGAAGGAGAGATTGAATGAAAACACTCTGTTTTGTTTTCAAAATTACAGCGAAACAAAGGAGTTTCTTGGCTAGTGGCGTTGCGTGCGAGTATCCTCGAGTCCCACTAGTGCCAGTAAGCTCTTGTAAAGTGAAAAACATTCCAATTGAATATCGTTGCACCGCCCCTTTAACTGACATAAAGGAGAATTCAATTATTATTATTATACGAAAACAACTCCGCGGCCCTATACTCAAACAACGTATTTCGTCTATTGGTGACAGCGTCCCCGAAATTACTACTAAGCTGCTGTCAGTAACGCTATCAACGATGGCCACGTGCTGGGCTCCCCAGGTGATTTAGTGCCGATTAAGGGAAATAAAGGAAACTTGTCCAGTTTAGGAGCGGGCCTCCTACGAAAAATATTTATTTGGTTGCAAGGCAAACCTTTCCATGGATTCATCTAAAAACGCTAACCGTTTTGGCCTCTCTTTTTTTTTTTTTAATTTGGCATTTAGATGGTTTCTTTCGACCGCTCTCTTTTTCACCTCTTTTTTTTTCGTTTTATTTTTTTATCAATTTCCAAGCAGATGCACGAAATGTGGAAGCGACTAAAAGTAATGCTCAGTGCGCGACGTAATGCAAAAAAAAAAAAAAAAAAAAAAAAAGCTTCATAATAAGAAACTTGCTATCGATTGCCCCTCATACAGAGCGGGCACATTGGAAGAACCTTTAGGTGAGGAAATCAGTATAAGTCACGACTTATTCTCTGCGGCACTTTGTAGAATCCATACAGACGACAAGCCTGACTGAGGAAGAGAACTTCGCGCAGTTATACATTAACATGCATAACGTACACGCTACGCAATTCACTAGGATTTTTCCTCTAAGATAAATGAATATAACGAGCATGCCTTTTGGTGAGGTAAAACAACAGTCAAGAAAATGACTGACAAAGCTCAAAATTATACAAAAGGGTACATGCAAGAGCAAAGCGAATTAAACGAGAAAAGCTAGAAAAATTAGCAGAACTAATTTAAAGGCAGTAAATATATAAAAAATATTAACAAAACAAATTAAATG